TTCATTCAAGTCCTGTTTGATTTAATTCACAAAAGTCTTATGTACCTATATTTATGTTTTTTACATATTTTTTTTTGATTCCTGGTTTTGTTTGGGTTCCGGTTGCCTTTTTCCTGCTTCCAGTTATTTAGTTTTATGCCCGTGAAGCTGTGAAAACATTTATTTATCTTCATGTTTCTGTAAGTCAATCAATGCACTGTTACTTTACTAATTCGCTGTAACACTGCATCTCTGATATTATTTAAATATTTGATATTGATACAGTAGTTTATTGGATTATAGCTCTTTAATTGTGTTGATTTGCATATTTACATTGTTCTAAATTCCAAATAAATATTTTTGAGTAATTTTGTCGTATTATTTACTACTAGAAAGAGTAAAAAGTATATTAACCCTCATTTAAACCTCCTGAACAGCCCGCCATTAAAAACCGGAAACGGAAATAAATTTCATAAAATTGAAATTGTCATGTCTATGTCATGTCAAATGTCCCAGCCGCCATATCTGAAAATTAGTTACCCAGGCAGCCACGCTGTTTCCATAATTTAACATTGACTTGACACTTCTTCTTGTATTTATTATTTTATGTTGCTGACTTTTGATTGCTTATGGAAAACGGCGGACGGTGAGCTGGCTTCAATACCCCATAGTGGTCGGTCTCAGAAGTCTTCTGGATCAAATGAGCTAGGTGATGAGGTGATAGTTAGCTCAGAACCATATGGTGATGAAACTGGATACTGGCTGGCAAGAAAACGGCAGCATACCAAATAAAACGTAACCAAATGTTACAAACTGGTCAAAACCAAAATCCAAAATGAAAATAGAAATAAACAGGAATTAACTTATATGCAAGTTAAATGCAAGTTAAATTAAATCCAAATTAAATCCAACTAAATCCAACTAAATTAAACTAAATCCAACTAAATGGCCTGGAAAAGAAGTTCAAAATTACCTTCAAGAAAAACTACAAAATGGCGTAAAACATACCTGAGATGTCATGTGGCCATTCATTAACTCTTTTCTTCAAATTCTTGCTGTTAAAATAATTAGGAAAATCGGAAAACTCCACTTGAATAGTGCAGAACGGCAAAACTATTCACAAAGTAATTATTTAACAGAATTTGCTAGAACTTATATCAGCACAAGGCTTGATCCAAAAGCGTGTCTGCACACAAAGACGGATCGTTCTAGAAGAAAGAATCATGGATGAACACCGGACAAAAAGGGCAGTAAAAAAAAACACAGCAAATCAATGCTGCCAATAAACCAAATAACATACTCCCTAAGAGCAAAACATGATATACGTTAAATATAAAAAAACAATAAATCGAAAGTATTCAAAGTAAACAGAAATCGAAGAAGATATCGAAAGTACCACAGGAAAATAATATTACGAAACCAATATACAATGTAAACAATCAAAAAGTCACCATCATATATAAATGTCATATATAACTGTCAATCAAACCCTAATTCGGTAACTAATGCTAATATGCTCGATATTTACGTTGCCGCAGAATAAGAAATTACAAAATAACCTCAAATATTGTTCGGCTGTAAACACATCGCTGTCAAAACACTACTGAAGCTAATTTCAATAAAATTACGATTTTGCAAGCCTTTAAGAGACTAAATATCAGCCACACATCGTAAGTAATCTATTTAAAAGTATCTATTAATAATTACTAAACGTTTTATTTATTTTTAGTTTATGATGTTCAACAATTGAATGTGCTACACTGATAGGGTTACCAGATAGGTCATCATGAAAAAGAGTACATCGGGTAGTTTTGGTGAGGCATCACGCCAAACTCAAAAAAAATCGTACGAAACACTTGGGTCCTTACTAGTAAATTTGATTAGCTATAACATAACAGTATTTATTAGCTATAAAATACAGAACAACAAGTAGGTACTACAAAGTAAAACAAAAACTAGACTAATTACACAGGCCGACAAAAAAAAATTTTTTCGATGTAACACAAAGCTCAATAGGATATTGTGGTAGAATGAACCTATCTAATCACGAAAGTGGCAAAAAAAAAAGTCGTAACACGTAAGGTTTTTTTGTTACATTAATAAAACATCATTCAATATTACAATATTCAATATATTAAGATAGCTATTCAAAACATGATTTAAGAACTTCTTAAGCCTATATACCGATTATATTTTATAGTTTACACTCCTCAAACATTACTTATACCTAAAAAGTACAAAAACAATCGAAACGAGATCAAAACATAAACAAAAACTTTTACTTTTTCCTTTTATGAGGGACCGCGTCTTCTCTCTTCAAAAACCAACAGTAATCACCCATCATGGCTGGATCCCATCGTCCTTGATAACGAATTTCCATTGTCCTTATGTCTTGATGGAATCTCTCACCTTGCTCATCACTGACAGCACCCATATTTTCAGGGAAAAATGACAAATGAGAATGGAGAAAGTGAATTTTTAAAGACATTCGGGCACCAAGCGATTTATAAGCATCTAAAAGCTCATTAACCAATTGTTCGTAGTTCGCATCCTTATTGTTTCCCAAAAATCCCCTCACTACACTAACAAATGAGGTCCATGCTCTGAGTTCCTGCCTGGTAAGCGTGTCTGTGAAATTTGTGTCGTCCAACAATTTCCTGATTTGTGGTCCAATAAAAATACCCTCTTTCAATTTGGCATCACTCAACTGGGGAAAGACTTGCCTTAGGTATTTAAATCCATCACCTTCTTTATTCATAGCTTTCACGAAGTTTTTCATGAGGCCAAGTTTGATATGAAGAGGAGGCAGGAGGACGTCTTTGGGGTCTACAAGAGGGATATACTTGACATTTTGGGAACCCGGTTGAAATTCACTTCTTTCTGGCCAAATTTTCTGTACATAATGATGATTTACTGCACGACTGTCCCACAAACAAAGAAAACAGCAATATTTTGTAAATCCTCCCTGAAGTCCCACTAAAATTCCTATAACTTTCAAGTCCCCACATATCTGCCATTTATACCTGTTGTAGTTGATTCTATCTAAAAGCATGCGCATATTTTCATAAGTTTCCTTCATTGTCACTGAATGGGCAACTGGTATAGAGGGTTTTAAATTTCCGTTATGCAATAACACAGCTTTTAGGCTATATTTCGACGAATCTATGAATAAGCGCCACTCACAGGGAGAATGTTCTATAGAAAGTTCCTGCATTAAGCCATCGATATCAGTACATGCACACAACGAATCCTCCATACTGTAGAATGCAGAGAACGGAGCATTTCTTTTTCTAAAAGTGGTGATTTTTGTTTCATTGGCTAACAGATTCCATTCCTTAAGCCGGGATCCAAGAAGTTCTGACTGCTGCTTTGATAACCCCAAGTCACGCACTAAGTCATTCAACTCGCTTTGAACAATCAAATGTGGCTTGTCGGAACCGCCCTCTGGGGTAAAGGTAGGATCAGTACACTGGTCTCCAGAGCTGTTTGATTCAATATCTTCCTTATCTTCCAAAACAATACCTTGCCAGTCTAAGGGCGCGATCGGCACTGGGAGATCTGCACCATGAAGAACAGGTCGTATGGCAGACGGCAAATTGGGATACTCGATCTTGTGCTTTTGTTTTTTGGAAAAACCTTCAGTTTTCGTCAGGCAAAAATAGCAATCGTCAAAATGGTTAGTTGGTTCTCGCCATACCATTGGAACCGCAAATGGCATTTTTTCCTCTTCCCTTTCATCCACTGCACAAGCGACACGCTACAAGTAACGCAGCACACATGAGGAGCCCACTGCTTGTCTTGATCTCCAACCAAAACTCCAAAATACTTGAAGTAGGCTTTCTTCACATTTTCAGAAAATGGTCTGGCTTGTGATTGCACCATAAATTCTCCACAAATGTAACAAAATCGATCAGGAGACACTTTACAACTGCGGCGCGTTTGACTTGACATTTTCGTACTATTTATCCACACGCATAGAACAACTCACGTCGAAAATCAACTGAAAACTGAACTCTCTTATGTTTTTCACAATATATTATAGTGCACAAAATGCGTCCCTTTCAATCATCCCATCATAAAATTTATCTGTATGTAAACGAATCTACCTAGACTTAATACCTGACATCTATAAAATTGACTACCTGCAAAAAAGAGGCGTAATTAGGCAACTGAAAAGTGGTACGTGTAGGAGCTTCAGGAGTATTTTTTCTGTTATTAGAAGCATATTTTTATGAAGAAATTCTGCAACTGACTCGTGTTACAAAAATCATGTCGGCCTGTGTTATTATGGTATTTTGCATTACCACGAATTTTACCCAAAAAAGCTCTTTGACCTTTGCAATGCTTTGAAAAATCAACACAACTGGTGTCTTTAAAATTAAACTGTACCATTAAAACACTTTTAATGGAAGACAGTAAAAAGCGATTTCGTTCATCGGTCCATTGCGCTCTCATGAAACTAAAAATTCTTTATAAATTAACATTGTGTGCAGGTATCGCATAAAAAAATGTCATATTTTTGAGAAAACGTGGTTGCCTATTCTAAAGTTTATGAGAGTAAAAATAAAGAATAATTCATAGCTCAGTTTAAAAAAGAGGACATTTTAACGAATTTTAAAAAAAGTAAGAGTACAGAAATTTGTACCCTTGAAAAGAGAACATGTACTCTTAAAAGAGTACGGATGGTAACCCTATACACTGATATCAACACTTGTTCGATTCAAAATAGAGTTAAATCCATACTATAATCATGGGAAAAGCTATAGCATTTTTTATAATAATGGTACATTCCAAGGAATTTGTGTAAAATATGATGATATAAACCAAATTTAACTTGTTAAAATAGAAGGCATCGTATTTAGCTTCAAAGAACTACAAAGCAGTACGAGACAGAGAAATTTACAGTGAAATTAGATCCTTTTTTTATGTTGTTAAAAGAAAAAGTGTAATGCAACAGTAAATAAACATATTTTAGCCTAGAAATTATATTATTTACCAAATTGTTTTTAGATTTTAAAGAAATGGCGAATGCCCCAGGTTTGATACAACAATCAATTAAATTCAAGAATTGTCTCTAAAATTACAATATTGAGCCCAAAATAAATAAAATTATAAAAGAAATCTATGAGAATATAAATCCCGTAACAATGTTTCACACATCCATTAAATACAATAGATATGCATTTCACATACTTAAAAGTATATCATTATTTTAAGTTAACTTGTAAAATAAACATCTGAAACCCGTTTCGAAAACAAATAACTTTGAAAAACGAGCTATTCCAACCGGAATTACTTGTCATCAAACCTCAAAAAGACGTTATCTTGCCATAATTCTGGATTTAACAACCGGTCACGACCGCAAACTGGAGGAATATGTGCACTTGGATGGCGCTCTTTGCACCTAGTGCAGTAGTTTGTAGGACACCATAACAATCAATATTATTGCTACTCGAATATAATGGCGAATTTAACCCATTGCTTTAAAGCAACGGTTCTTGTTAGACTTAATGCAATTGGTAGGATTATTTTTAAACAATTTTATTTATTAGTAGACTTAGACAATAAGTAGAGATGAGCAGAAAATCGCAAACCGCCATTTATTCACAGCGATTGCAAATTCGCAATCGCAACCTGCTTTCCCTTTTCATAGCAAACTGCGACTAGTGATTGAAATATACAGGGTGTCCCAGGCTGAGCATGCATTAGGAGTTTCTAGAGATTTACAACATCTAGCTCGGATATCATAGTTTCACAATGTGATCTATCGATTAAAAATATTTTCAATATGGCGGCACTTCCGGAAATACCGGAAGATGGCCGCAACTTTCTTGTTTTAAATGGGCGCCCCCATTTTTTATTAAATAATTAAATTCTCTATAAAATTTTATGAATTTTGATATTAACCCATTAGTGCATAATGTATCTTTTAATGGACACATGTATATTTGGTTGTCAGCATAATACTATCGATACAAATACGGATATTTTGTGCTTGTTGGGTAGATGGAATCTATAAAAAGTCGTGTTAAGCAGTATGCCATAAACATCCATATGATAAGTGCTGCTTTATTAAAAATGGATCCCGATTTATACACCACACGACACGGCGGGTATGTTTTATGTTTTTTTAATAAATTATATTTCTTATGTTGTTATAAAGTCGAATATAGTATCTTATGTATATTTAGAATAGTTCTACGTTTTCACAGTTATTTATGTTTTTTATAAGTTTATCAAAATCTTATTTTTTTGTGTGATCCATTATAATGGACGCTATGCGTACTGGCACATGTAGCAAAACAAAATAAAAAAATATGTACAGGACAGTTTCTGATAAATAATATTTTATAGACTTTCTCTGCATTAGTTATTAGAAATAATTGAGGACGAGAGTACTGACAACCCACCGTCAGAAATATATATATATTGCCACCAGAGGAGAAGTCGGCTGATACAGAAGGGGATAGCGATGATTCTGACGAAGAAACTGCTAATCCAAATCATCTGTCCAGAGGAATATTACAACAGCCCTGTGAAGTTCGGTTTAATGACTCAGATTTTGATGAAGAAGATGATAACATACCTTTATCAGTTATTAGAAATAATTTAGCATCTACATCTAAAGAATATGTTTTACCAATGACTCCGACTGTCAACACATCAAATCCTAAAAGGCGTAGACAATACAATTGGTCCGAAAATATACCACTGTATAACATAAACCAAATTTGTACTCCCAGAGCGCCCTCTGAAGCGGCGTCTTCTGCCAAAACGCCTCTTGAATTTTTTAATTTGTTTTGGAGTGAAACTATTATTGAACATATAGTGACTCAATCAAATAAATATGCTCAGCAGAAGAATGTCCCTTTAAATATTACCAGAGAAGAATTTTACGTAGTTCTTGGGGCTATGCTGCTATCGGGATACACCAAATGTCCGAACAAGCGCATGTATTGGTCAAGTACTGAAGATGTCCCAAAAATTATTTATAATAGTATCCGACTCAACAGATTTGAAATTATAATACAATATCTCCATTTCAATGATAATTTTTTAAATACCCATACAGATAAATTGTACAAACTACGCCCTATCATAATACACCTGAATGAAAATTTCAGGCAGCATGGTGGCTTGGAAGAACACATTTCGATTGATGAAAGCATGATACCATATTACGGCAAGCATTATGCGAAACAATATATCAAAGGGAAACCAATTAGATTTGGGTATAAAAATTGGGCTCTTTGTACCAGGACAGGATATTGTGTGACATTTGATATATATACCGGCAAATCTGATGCACGTGAAAATAAATTTGGGCTTGGTGGAGATGTCGTTCTAACATTGTTAGAAAATGCAAAAATATGTCCTAATTCAGGGTATAAAATATATTTTGACAATTACTTTACAAGTATTGGATTACTTGATTATCTTGCCAATCGAAATATTTGTGCAATGGGAACAGTTCGGGAAAATAGATTGGAACGCTGCCCCTTTCCCGATAAGAAAGAGTGGAATAAAAAACCAAGAGGGGCTTATAAATTTATGGCTAGCGAATCAGTTCTAATGGTTAAATGGAAAGACAATAAAGTCGTTACAGCAGCATCTAACTTTTCCTCCAACAGTATTGTTAAAACTTCACGATGGTGCAGAATCACCAAATTTAAAAAACAAATTGATCAACCAGAAATAATAGCGAATTATAATATTGGAATGGGAGGAGTTGATAAAATGGACAGTCTAGTGGCTGTCTATAGAACAAGAATTAGGCAACGCAAATGGTACTGGCCAATTTTCGCATATTTAGTTGACGTTTCAGTGTCTAATGCTTGGCTACTCATGAAGAAACACTTACCAAAAGATAAAAACTGTTCAAGTTTACTGGTTTTTCGTAGGTACATTGCAAATTCGTTATTACAAACTTATGGGACACCTTCATCAAGAGGTAGAGTATCTACTACCACGAATGATGTGAGGTTTGACAACACTAACCACATCGTAGTGTATAGTGAAACTCACAGATGTAAACAATGCACAAAAAAAGCCAATTTCATCTGTGAGAAATGTAATGTCGGTCTACATCCCAAAGGTTGTTTCAAAACATATCATATTAAATAAGCCTTGAAATTTATTTTACTATAAACACTTTAAATAAAAACATAAAATAAAAAGATTTTTTACAAAATATGAAGTTTTTTTATATGACTTTTTTACCCAGTTGATAAGAAATGCATGAAGTCCATTATAATGGACAGTCATTTTTCAGAAAAATACATACATTGTTCAATTTCTCTATTTATTTTCACTGTTATATTACATAAACTAATAGATATAATTAATTTTCCAAACTAATTTCAGAAAAAAATAACTTTATGCACTAATGGGTTAAACACTCTATATCTAACATTAACGGTTTTTGAGAAAAAAAAAAATTTAACATTTTTGAACGAAAAAAAACTGCCTGTCAAAAACATGTGTATAGCCTTAACTTCAAATTGAGTGATTACCACAGCCACTGTGACATAAAGAGAAAACATGTGGCCATCCAAGGATATTATAGAGATAAGGTTAGTTCGATTCCTATCTTCCTGCACTGTCAGTTTTTTTACGTTATCTAGGGACCGAGTTGAAGTTGGCGCTAAAGATTGTAGACAGTGACAGTTATATTTGCGTTTGACGGACTAGCGCACAGTGCGGTGGAAGATAAATTTAGCGGGACAAACCATTTAGTTAGAAATAAGCCAAAAAATGTGTACTGATAAGAATGAAGAACATTCCAAATGATATAAAAATGCATGAATATTCTTTGTATTTCGATACATTTTTATCAACCAAATTTGATCGTTTTCTGCTCAGCAAGGCAGAGGTCATACAAAAACAAAATATTTAAAAGTGCTTATTTATTTCAAAGCCAAATTATGTTGAAGATTGCCAAAGGTATGTACTTTTCTACTGTAGGTATATTATTTGTTAAAATCCTTCGTGCCTTTGTTCTGCAGATATCAAACTTTCACTTTTTCAAATATTGATATATTGAATGATGTCGTAGATCTTTTGAGTTACCAATAGTTACCAACACAGGTAGTCACAGTCACAAGGAGTTCAAGCTTAACAGGTGAATGCCCAAAAGTTTCATTTCAATCGGATAGTATAAAAACGAAACAAAGACTCGTTAAAGGGTTAATTGAAGAGTATTCAAACGAAGCATTGGGTTTTGTAAGTATTATGAGCCTTAGGGCTAGTGAGAATAAGGATGCTGCTGCCTTAACTCCATCGAAAGGCACTGAGTTTAAAAAATTAATAGCTGCCCATACACGGAAAGGCCAGGCCTTCGGACTTGGCCTTGAGGCCGGGGCTTTCAGTTCGGCAATTTTCCTCAAGACAAAAACATAAAATGATGTTCTAGTTAAATAAAGCATTCTGATAATTTATAATAAAACTAAATGATTATTACTAGTTTTAATAAAAGTTTAAAAAATTGTCTTAGATACTTACTATATATGAATTTACAAGTACCAAGTGTTAAAATTAAAATATCTATCTTTTTCAAAATAAAATATAATTTTTTAAAATAACATATACAGGGTGTCACAAGATTACAAAGTAATTAAAAAATAACTGTTAAAGAGTTTTTTGTAAGTATTTCACCTGAACGAGTGGCGAATGATAATAATTTCCTATTTAATGTGTGTTTTTCGGATGAGTGTACTTTCTTTTTCAACGGTGTAGTTAAACGGCACAACTGTCGGTACTGGGCTCAGGACAACCCCAGGATTTTTCACGAGGTGCAGACCCAAAACTCTTAGAAATTAAACGTGTGGGTTGGTATTTTTGGAAATTCTATTGTGGGTCCTTTTCTTCTTCCTGGAATCTAACAGGTGATATGTACAGCTGGATCAAAAAAAATGAATACGACTCTTTACACATTCTTTTCGAATATTTGAGCAGTATATACTGATGTGTCAAGTATTTTAACATGTTAAGGTTATTGTGATATTGTATAAAACAACTTTGCTTTTGATAAAGTGGCAAATACATTTTTCAGAACGTCAGCATGACATGAGTAGAGAAATGGGGGACAGGTATCATAAAATATACTGCCCGAAATAATAAAAATATGATTTAAATCGTATTCAATTTTATTAGAACCAGCTGTACTTGGATTTACTGGAAAATACCATCGACCCAGCCCTAGAATTTAGAATTTAGAATGAGTGGGAGGGGGGTTAATCACTTCGACCTTACAGATCCATTGTCCCCCTTTCTTGAATCATAACTCATCATACAGTCCCAGGGCTTTGACAAAAGCCAGTATCTGGGACGGTTTTATAGAGGGTAGTTCTCCATCTCCAATATCAGTCGTACCAAAATTCATGGCACGAATGGTTGTCGTCTCGGCGCACTCAGTGATGAGGTGTACTGGTGTTTCACCATCTTCCCCACAGAATCCGCATTCGCCGTTTCTTCTTAGTTTCAATCTACTGAGGTGTTCATTGAGGAGACAGTGTCCTGTTAAAAACCCCGTGACAATCCGAAGATTGTTCTTACTCAGACCTAGGAAGATCTGTGATTTTTATTGATCATAAGCCCTCAGAAACTTCTTCGAGTGTCCTAGACCATTGCAAGATTTCCATTCCAGGTTGCGGATGGAATCTTCCAAGTTCTTGAGTTCCTCCTTGAGTTGGTTACCACTTGGAAAGCAGAACGGTTCTGGTCCAGTTAGTGGAGTGTTCGCTCCTTTTCTACCTAGATTATTTGCTTTTTCATTGCCTTTTATCCCTTGGTGAGCAGGCACCCAGTGTAGGAGGACTTTGTTTTCTTTGCCTAATTTATTCAGCTTCTCTATGTATTCTTTGACCAATTTCGAATTGATTGAGACTGAGTTGATCGCCTTTAACGCTGCTTGACTATCAGATAAGATGGCTATTTCTTGTTTCCGATAGTTCCTATCTAAGATAAGTTGTACGCATCTCTCGATAGCGTAGATTTCTGCCTGTAGGATACTAGGGTAAGTGCCCATTGGTTCGGAGTAATTAGCTCTCGGCCCAAACACTCCGATCCCTGTTCCCGTATTGGATTTGGAAGCATCAGTATACCAAGTTATGGTATGGTCTTTTAACTGATGGGCAAGCGTTTCGCTCTTCCAATCCTTCTTATTGCTCAATACTACATTGACATGTTTGTCAAAGTTGTACGTTCTTGGCATATCGTCCACTGGGAGTTGCAGGAGTGGTATTTCCTTTTTGAGGGTGTTCCAAGCCCCTGATCTGACAATTCTCCCAGTACTAATTCCGTTAGTGACCATTCTAATCATTGTCGCATTGGCATATCTACCAATGACAATGTGCAGTGGTGTTAGATCTAGAATGACCTCCATTGCTGCTGTTGGACAGGTTCTCATGGCTCCTGTGATGCAAACCTAGCCCTAACTGAAATCATAAAGAACAATCCTGGAGACGTTGAAGCGGAACTAATATTTCAACAAGACGGTGCGCCTCCATATTACTCTCAAAATTTGCGTAATTATTTAAACAATAACTTTCCCGGTCGGTGGATAGGACGAAGGGGTGCAATTGAGTGGCTTCTCCGGTCGCCCGACTTGACTCCTTTAGACTTTTTTCATGGGCACACATAAAAAGTGTATAGAGAATAGAAAGCCCTTTTCATTGCGGCGCCACTTGACCCTCCTTCCCATTTGAAAAAATTTGGGGGATGACTCCCCCGCTTAGAGGGTTGAAGATTTAGCAATCATTTTTGGAGCAAAAGTTGTCCCCCTCACAAACAAAATAGACGTGTTTTTGGATTTTTTGAAAAAAAAATACCCTGGCCGTTAGGCCTTGCGAAACGTTTTCGATGGGCCACCCTGTATGTAAAAATCAGACATGTAAAAATAAGTAAAGTTCACTAAAGCGTTTTTACTTTAATGCATTTTACTTTAAGCGTTTTTACCTTTCTCACTTGGTATCTGCTAAGGTGTCACAGGTCGAACCCCACAAACACGCCGGTATACAAAGCACATGAGAGCGCTACTGAGAGCCTAAGGGTACGAACATAGTGGAGGCAGGTTTCTGCTTTCCGGCAACCAACGCCGTCTCTGGGGACCTATTCTTGACCACATATCGCTCACATCTCGCATCTCCGAAAAAGCCATATAACAATACACGTGATGCGTAACTTTGCGTATATGCCGTGTATTGTTATATGGCTTTTTCGGAGATGCGAGCAGGGTTCGGAAGTAGTTAATTAAGAGGAAATTTACCTGATTAACTAACCTAACCTAACCTAACCATATCCAAACGCCGCTCCCGCCGCGCCGGCCCCGCAGATAGGGGTATTTGGTCTATAAACCTGGCCAAAAGTGAAATATTTTTATTTTCATTTTTTATCTTAACTGAATACAAATCTATAAATACTAAATGTAAGCGCGTTTATTAGCTTTTTTTAAGTCGTAAGTTGACTATCAAATAAATAATATATTTCAATTATAAGTATGAATTATCTCGAGTGTATTCTGAAAATTTCTAAGATTTTAAAATAGTGAAATTGTTTGTAGTGCTTTTTTTGCAAATTGTTTATAATAACTGTCATGATGGATACAGAGCCAGCTGGCAAGTCCTGTTTTATGCCATATTTTTATTTTGAAACGTTTCCTTCTATTCTATTTTTTTATAATGTTTTATATTTAAAAAATCAGAGGCATTTTTATAAGGTGTAAGACTATTCGGCAATATTCCGCATGGAAATTAGTATCCGTTCAGTGCTTAAAGTCTCCAGCTTTGGAATATGTACAAAAATCTTGCCAATATTTGCCACTGCCAAAAAAAACATTGATTTAAATAGATTCTTAAAGGAAATAGTCTTTACCCTATAACACCCATCCTCGCTCAAATATCGTCTATAATATACAAATTACTTTCTTGTTCTAGCATCCTCATCCAATTGCTTGGTTTTGCACAGAATGGCCCTATTTGATCGGTGGAAAGGGTTTCAGAATAGAGGAAAAAATATTGTGTAGGAAAAACAAAATGAGGTTCCATATTAGCACCCTCTCCTCTAATAATTAATATTACTAGCAAAAAAGCAAAAAAATCATAAAACATAATTTTGGCCAACTTTTAGTTCTTAATACCCTCTGTGCGCCGTCGGCGCCTGCAAAAGCAGAAATAAATAAATTTTCGTTCCGGTAAAAGCGAGAACGCCGATGAACGCTGGTTGACGGCTCCTACCTGCTTTCACTGTGAACTAGCCGATTTGATAACACGCTTTAATTTTTCAAGGTTATAAGCGCGAGGCGGCGCGGCGCGGCGCTACTATGTAACCATATACAGGGTGTCCCAGAAATACGTGCAAGTATTTTAACTTAACTGGTAGTATAGTTCAACCCCAGAAACACGCCTATGAGGTTTTTTTCTAAATATTTTTTTTTGAAAATTCGGAATTTTTTGAAAATATTTTTGGAATTTTTTTGCAATTTTTTTTAGTTTTTATTTAAAAAAATAATTTCTTGATAATATGGCAACATAGGTAGTAGATTAAATTTATAAGAAAGAAAATCCAGAAAAGATCCAGTGGTTCTCAAACAAATCTCGAAGTATTGGAAAGAATATGTAAGGACCAAGAACTATTGACTACAATAAAACGACGAAAAGCAGCATATTTTGGTCATATTTTTCGAAATAACAAATATAGTTTCCTACAGCTGATCGTTGAGGGAAAGATTGAAGGACGACGAGGCATCGGGCGTAAACGGTTTTCCTGCATGCGGAATTTGCGCCAGTGGTTTAATATAGGAGAGGCAAGTGCAATTATCCGTTTGGCTCAAGACAGGGAGGAATTCCAATTGATGGTCGCCAACCTCCGATGAGGAGAAGGCACATGAAGAAGGTTCTCAAAATTTGAGCAAAAAATCATTTTTTTTTTGGAAATTTTGAAAGTAAAATAACTCCGTTATTTTGGACTTATTTCGAAAACGATAAAGAGAAAATATGTTTCTTTTATCGAGATCTACCATCCTTTAAAATACTTGGGATACCCTGTTTATAACAATACACGTGATGCGTATACGCAAAGTTGCGAACGATGTCAAGAATAGGTACCCAGATTGGCGCTGGCTACCAGTAAGCGGCAAACCTGCTTGCACTGTGTTCGCACACTAAAGGTTTCATCCTTGTAAAAACAAGTTATGTCTGATCGCTCTGGGATCTTGGACTTTAGAAAAAAAAGACATATGATACATACTATTTAATACCTATCGCGTCATTCGAACTTGTCATTTTTAACATCGCGTCGACTTTTGTCGATGCCTTTCGTTCGTTTTTCCGCCTTTTTAATTAAATTCTTTTTTAACTTCGGATCGCCCGACGATGAACCAGATCTGCGTGCAGATAGTGCGA